CTTAAAAGCCTATGGCTATTGGCATGAACTACAATTCCTGATACTGGTTTTTGAATATAATACATTTTACTCATCCTTATAGTCATAGCTAGAACAGTTGTTGTCATACCCAGAAAAAGCATTCTCCAGTCTTTGATGTGTTTTTAAATTGGTTTTCTAGAATTTTCCCTCTTTTTTTATGCTTCCTTCTTAGTTGTATCTTCCAACCCTCCATTAGTGGCTTTTTCAGTTCTTAGACATCTTCTCTTACATATCTTCACTCCCCAGGTGATTACATCTACTTGTATGGGCTTAAATAGCATCTAGCTCTGAGAATGATATAAATGTGTTGTTTGTTTCTCGTAGAGAATTCCCATAAATATCATGGTTTGATAATAAGCTGATTACTTCACTGTTGCACTAAAATATCACTATTTTTTTAACAGATATTTAACACTTATGTTGTGCTTTCTATCCCATAGAACTTATCCTACAGTACTTCCAATCTGGAATTTCCAGCTGAAATCAATAGTCATTCTCTCCATTTTTCCAGTTGTTCTGACCAAAATCTTAGTTGTATTAAACTAAAGTTTCCCTTTACCATTTCTCTTCCAACCATACGGACGATCCTGCTTATATTAAAAACCTACCTATATTCTGAATCACGATCTCCATCACTCCCACTGAAAGTACCTCTTACCCATGACATTACTTTAGCAGACTTTTTAACAGAAAAAATGAAGATTCTTTCAAAATATTATAAATCATATTAATAACATGCTCAGACCCTACAGCAATCCATATCTCTCAAAGTTGAATCTGATGCCTTTAATGTCCCTCAGAACAACACATTATTTTCCTATTTATTGTATTTTATCATCTCTTAAACTCTTCTCCTGCTTTCTTACCTACACATTAACTTTGTATCGGCTTATGACAGGGTCATCTTGCCTCTGGACCTTTGTATCAACTGTTTTATGCCCACAGCATGCTTCTCAAAGATACATACCAGTATAATTCCTCCATCTCCCTAAAGTTTTTATTCAAATGTCACCTTCTCAATAGAGCCTACTCGATCTCCCTATTTAGACTTTCAATCTGCTAGCAACCCACCTTATAAAGATTTAATATTTGAAAATTGTGTGTGTGTGGGTGCGTGCACCCACATGTGGGTGTGTGCACGTGTGAACAGGTTGCCAGGGAGGCCAGGGGTGTTGCATTCCCTGGAACTGGAGTTACAGGCAGTTCTGAGTGGTGTGGCTTCTGTCCACATTCTTACTTCTGAGCCATCTCTTCAGCCCCAAACTGACGTAAAATATAGTCATTATCGCCTCACATGCTAGATACCTGCTGATTTTTAGTGTATCACTTGCTGCTTGCATCTCCCTGGTTGGATATAAAGTTACGAGGATTTGAACCACTACCAGCTCTGCTCAGTGATGCAGCCCCAGCACCTAGAAAAGCGGGTGTCCAATCAACACAGAATGAGAAAACATCTAAACTCTCCAACCGTCTCACCACTTCAGGTGACTGGCACCCTACTCATTACCCTCATCACCCAGCAGGACTAAATCTCTCCTCAGGGTTTTCCCAGTTCTCTACAGCCCTATCACTATTTTCTGCAGGCTGACTAAGATAATTCTTCTGAATCCTCCAATTTCAAAGTTGAAAAAAACCCTACCATTGTTCAAAGTAAAAACAAACAAACAAACGAAACATTATCTGGCCCAAGACCACCTCTCCAACTTCTGTGTTTCAACTGAGCCAAGAATGTCCTTAATGAGGCTCACTGGAATGGTGATTAACGTGAGGCTTGATACACAGTAAGTACAAAACATTTGTTGACCATTATTACAACTGGTATTTGAAACATAGCACTTGGAAGCTGGTATTTCATTTTCCCTCCAAGTGAAAAAACAAACAACAAAACAAAACCTAACATTCTGAAAGAAAGGTATAGGGTTGAAGAAATTATCCACAGGTTCTCAGGAAGGAGTCCCTACCTCTCTACTCCCTGCCTCTAGTACGTTTTCAGGGGCTCAAGCACTTGTTCTGAAATGTAAGTCCTGCCATGGGATTTGAATGAATGCTGTTTCCTATTCAAAGAGGAAGTTAAAATCATTCTGTGTAGAAAGGAAGGGGCATTCTCCCTTTTCTGGTCCTTCTGGGCCAGCACCCATTCTCAGTCTCTTCTTTCTATTCTCTTCCCCACATCCTCGGAGGACTGACTTTAAGTGACTGCATGTCATTTTCCATAGCCCTGCCAATGGATCCAGATTGTCAGTTTTAATCATCATTATAATTCTTGTATGCCAGAGTAGAACTCTTAAAGATGATTTTAAAGTGAGATGGTTAATATTATGTGTTGGAAGCAGTGAGACCCCAGAACCTGAATTTCTTGTAATCCCCTGATCTGAGTGCCTACAGCTGCTCTGAGCACGAGACCTTCAGGAGTTCCTGATCACAGGAGAGTGGTTTCTGGTGGGTTTTGCTGGGGCGTGGCCATCTCTATATAATCTGCCCCTGAACACAATAAAGGGGGCATTCTTGGGGAATTCAAGGATAACCCGTGTTACTGTCTCTCTGTCTGTGTGTGTCTGTGTATTTTAACCTCCAGCCCCTTGGCCAAAGCTCGGTAACTGGGTAATAGTGCACCAAGCGCAGACACTGGGGCTTGTGCGCGGCAATTATGTGTCAACTTAACTAAGCCATGGGGTACCCGGAAGTTTGGTAAAGCCCTATTCTGAGTATAATATTTTTGGTTGAGATGAAACTCTGAACTGATAGACTGTATACATCAGTTTTCTCTTCTAATTTAACGCTGAAGCCAACCTATTAAAGGTTTGATCAGAACAAGAAAGCGGATTGCTCTATCATTGTCTTAATTAAGGGCTATCAGTTTTTCCTATCTTTGGCCCTGGACTGAAATATTGGTTCTCCTGAGTCTCTAATGTGCTGAGACTTGTCAACTTCCACAACCATGTGGATCAGTTATAATTTGTCTATTTATCTGACTCTGTTACTTTTTTAAATAAAAGTATATAAGTAGATAGATGGACAGATACATGACAAGGAAAAGGTATATAGATGATAGATAGATGATATAGATAGACGATAGATAGATAGATATATAGATAGATAGATAGATAGATAATATACATATATGCATACATATATATACACACATACAAAAATCCTATTGGTTCTATTTCTCTGGAAAACCAATACCCAGGGTTTGGGCAATGCATAGCATATGTAACATATGTGCCCTTAACACTCATTTTAGACACCATTTTCACTCAGTACCAGCTTCCCTTCTTAATACAACCCTTAGGAAGTTGGACATTAACAGAGCTGGGGTCACTGGTTAGCTCTCTGACTTCTGGCCCAGGACTCTTTTCATTCCCTGGCAGACTACATTTACCTGGCATGTTTTTCCCCAGGCACTGCACACCTTAAAGACTCTGAACACGAAATAGGATGAATGCTTCTCAGGACATAGGATATATCCCCCGTTCCAGGAACTGATTATTAAATAGTGAGTCCCTGTTCACCTACAGGAAAGCTATGTGGCATGAGAAATGCAACTTAATCCGCTCATCATTAAAGTGCATGTGTTTAAACTTTTCCAAAAAGGGATTCTCTGGGGGTTACATGTAAAGTGCTTATTGTACTTTTCAATATCCAGTAATGTAAAAAAAATGATTTGAAACACTTGCTAAAGCAGCCTTTACATTATTATAAATACGAGAAGCTACTGTGAGTTTTGCAGAAAGAAATGAACTCCAACTCTAAACACAACAAAAAAAGTGGGGACTTATAGCCAAGGAGTTGGTTGATGAGGCTCAGTGGACAGAAAATTAGGAAGAGGAAACAAGAGGAGCAAGTGGGATTCGAGCTGAGTCAACTTAGCAGGATTCTTGCAGAAGACAAGCCAGGGCAATCAGACACAACCTGGGGAAGGTGAAGGAGAATGTGCCCGATCCTTTACTGAGGGTAGGGATGCTAGTTAAACCAGCTTATCAGCATGCCTGCTGACACTGAGCAATGCACAATTGTGCAATGCGTTGCTCAGAATTAGCTGTTAACCTGACTGAACTTGGGATCACCAGCAAAAAAGCCCTCTGGGTATATCTGTGGGGGTTTATCTTCAGTATTTTAACTGATGTGGGGAGATCCATCCCAGTTGTGAGCAGGAGTTCTGGAATGTGGAAACCAGCAGTGATGACTGAGTCATAATGTGCATTCATTGATCTTCTTTGACTATGGACATTGTGGGATTTGCTGCTTCAAGTTCCTACTGCCTTAGTTTCTCTGCCATGATGGTATCTTAAACTGTGGGCTAAAATAAGCCATTTCTCCCTTCAGTTACTTATTTTTGGGTACTTTATTCACAGATGCTATGATACTATACATAAGTGACCCCAAAAAACTCTACCAAGGAACTGCCACAGCTGATAAATACCTTTAGTCAAGTGGTTGGATACAAGATTAACTTAAAAAATATCAGTAGTCTTCCTATATAAAATGAGAAAAGGACTAAGAAGGAAATCAGAAAATAACACCCTTTACAAAAACCTCAAATAATATATCTTGGTGTAACTCTAACCAAGATATATTTTAACTTTCATCAAGCAAGTGAAAGATCTGTATGACAAGGATGTCAAGTCTTTGAAGGTATTTTATCATAGCACAGCAAAGAAATTAAGATAGACATGGAAATCCAAACTTTGGTGCCTAGGGGTTCCTGTGATCTAAATACATTGTGCTCATGCATGAAATTTCCAGAGAATAAATAAATAAACTTTAAAAACACATGGTCCAGTGGAAAGATAATTCAGAGGACCCTGACTAACATTTGGCCAAGGTGAGACTCTGTCAGTAGACATTTAGAAACATGACTCAGACTGCTGTTGGAATATCTATTACAATAGCTACCCAGCTTAAAATTGTCTGTTTATCTAGCATGCCCAGTAAAGTTGATGGATTTATAATCCCGAGGCTTCTGTGTAGATACTCACCACATCAACTATGCCGATGTTGTTCCAGCCTTGCATTATGGGGAGAAAAGATATAAGCATGGGAATGGCCCAGCAGCCTCCCAACATCAGTGCAATGCGGACAGGGGTCATCTTGCTTCTGTAAACCAAAGGTTGGCAGCAGATGGCATAATACCTGGAGAGACAGTGAAGGGTGGGTCATGGGCAAGGAAAAATGAGGGGGAGAGGGGAAAGATAATAATAGATGGGGGAGACGAGGAAAAAAGGAGCAAAGAAGGATGGAAAGAAGGGGGAGTATTGAGAAGAGGAGGATTGGAAGGAGAGGAGAGAGTGAAATAGGAAAGAGAAGAGAAAAATTGAGAATAAATGGAGGCGAAGGTGATAAAGGAGTAGAAAGAAAGGGAAGGGGGTAGGAGGGGAACAAAGGAAAGAGAAAACACAATTAAACAATCGAAATAATAACACATGACATATACTTCTGTTAATTTATAAATATGCTTTAGATGAAGGTCATTGCCTAGAGTTGGCTTCACATCCCTCTTCATCTCCCAATGTCTTAATCAGCTTGACCTCATGAAGGTCTACTCTACTTCAGACACAGATCCACTTTCTGAGAACTGCAAACCTCCTCAAGCCCTCCAGGCCGCTGCACACAGGTACCTTTAGCCTCTGTGACTATGATTTGACCTATTTTACCCTTGCTCTCTCTTCCTCTTGATGGCTGCACTGAGAAGTACTTGTATGTTCCCTAAATTGTGTCCAGGATTACCCTTCTCCCCTTCCCCTGCAACAGATTTAGCTGAGAAGGTCAATGCAGACCCCAAGGGTCTCCTGAATCACAGCTTTCTGGGAAGCCACCTGGAGTGTACATTTTCACCAGCAAGTCAATTCTACCTTCAGGTAAGTATCCCTTACTTCCCCCTTAGAGGTGCATGCACTTCCAGGTTCCCTATTAGCATGAGACCAAGTGATGGGCTCAAGACAAAGAGATACAAGTACAGTTCACATGAATTGTTTCTGACAGTGACCATTTCATTGTTATTCTAAAGCAAGGAATATAAAGTTGCAAACATGTCACTGTTAATTATTGCCTACTTGTTGAAACTGCCCTCCCTCTATTTCCTGGGTCTGACCCTTTCTTGGATTCACTGCTCACTCTCTTTTGTGTTTATATTGTGCCTTAGGTTTTAGACTTCTTCTGCTTCCACAAATGGCCTCCTCTCTAACTCCCAAACTTGGAATCCTGCATGTATGTCATTCCAGCCTGTTCAAAGTTTCTGTGCCTTGATTAGCATTGCTCTAGAATAGTATGGGTTGCTGCTACAGAGAAACAAATGGAAGTTTCAAATTCCCTTTAAAATGTAACTGTGAGGGTGATGCTATAGAGCCAGCAGACAGTTTTCCAAACCCTTGTACAATTCACAGATACAGTCAGTCCTGGAAAACGGATACCTGAATTACAGCTGTTGGGACAGTTCCATCCTCAGGGGCTACGGTGGAATGCAGGGATGTCCCCTGCACAGACAGCTATGGACACGCGCTCTTGCATAGACTTGGATTGTTGAGAAGGGTGGTAAAAATTCTTCTTCTCTCTCTTTAAAATATTAGCAATAGTAAAGAGGGGGAAATGATTTTATTTTGCTTAATTTTAAACTAGGTTAGTGAAATTCTGAGTGCTAGGTTAGTATATACAGATAAAAACGTGTGGTCACGCCTAGATTTATATTGACTTAAATTTTTGTCTCTATCCTACAATAGGCATTATGTAATTTTTAGAAACCGGTAGCACAAAGCAAAGCCTATGAAATATGAGATTCTTAGCTAAAACTCACAACACTGACATAAATACTGAAGATTCTTCCTAGCAGAGCCCTCAAAAAAAAAAACACCTGATATATTTTGAATATCTTTCCTCATAGCATAAAATCATTTCTTTCAAGCAAAGAATTAAGAAAAGTTAAAAAAGAAGGAAACTTCCCTATCGTCACTTCCTCTACAATATGCCTGGTAGCACCACTAGTGAGAGGTTGCTCGTCAAGCTGGCAAGTATTCTGAGATCATTTATAAAGAGCATTGGATGCATTAATCATAACAGTTATCATTGATTTCCTTACCAAAGGCCATATTTATATAATATTTTACAACACTCATAACTAGTGTGTGTGTGTGTGTGTGTGTGTGTGTCTGTATCTGTGTCTGTGTAGGTGCACCTGTGTTCATGTGTCTGCGGAGGGTAGAGGTGAATCTTGGTTGTCATTCATTTGTTTTTTTGGAAAACGGTCTTTTGTTGGTGTGGAGCTCACCAAGTATTCTCAGCTGACTGCCTAGCAAGCCCTAGAGGTCTGCCTGTATCTCCCTCCCCGACCCTGAGATTACAAGCATGTGCCACCACACCCAGCCTTTTCATGTGGACTCTGGAGATTGAACTCAAGTCCTTGTGCTTGCACAGTGTGTACTTATATCAACTATGATACCTTTCCAGCCCCGTATGGGTTTTTAATATGAGGACATACACCAATGTGTCCAATGAAGAAATAAAAAGGGTGTGTGTGCTTGCGTGCGTACGTGCGTGTGTGTGTGTGTGTGTGTGTGTGTGTGTGTGTGTGTGTGAGTGTACGTGCGTGTGTCAGGATCTTGGCCAACACTCTGCATTGGGAAGAATTGCTGGCACTGGGCTTAGACAGACCAGACAGACCACTAAAAAGCCAGCTGGACCACCACTGCTATCATTTCACTCCGATATCTCTTCAGAATCCCCAAGAGATTTCTTTTAATTCCTTTAATACCCACCTTATAAATAAATGAAAAATAAAAATATTCAGGATTTGAAAGATGTTTCATGTCCTGGTTAGTTTATCTAGAGTCATCTGGGAAGAACTTCAATTGAGAAAAATGCCTCCATTAGATCGCTTGTAAGCACATCTGTGTGCACTTTTGGGATTGATGTTTGATAGGGGAAGAGGAGGCTGTGAGCCTACTATGGGTGATGCCACCCCTAGGCTGGTGGTCCTAGGTGATATTAGAAAACAGACTAATCAAGTCACAAGGTTGCAAGCCAGTAACCAAGATACAACCAAGATACCCTTGTGGCTTCTGCTTCAGTTCCTGCATCCAGATGTCTGTCTGTAGTTCTTGCCTTGGTTTCCCTCAGTGGATTCTGACCTGAAATATTTAAGTCAAATACCCTTTCTTCCATGCACTGCTTTTGGTCATGGGATTTATCACAGCAACAGAGAGAAATGAAGAAAATCAGAAATGCAAAATGTTTAAATTCTACTAAACAGGGGTATGTATCCAAGTCTTGAATTACCAGGACCTGAGGATTCTGTAGGTTCTACCAGAGTATGTTATAAAACTAAGAGTATCCTGAAGCTAATAAATTTTTCTCTAAAAATGATTTTCTGTTTCTTCTGATATTAACCCTCTGACCCAATTAAAATGTTTTATGTTTAAAGGTTTTTTCCTGCATGGCTGTCACATGGTCATTAGAAAAGCATTGTTATAACCCGTTGAAGTCACAGTTTAGCAAAAAAAAAATAAATAAATAAAAAAAAAATAATTCTCAGTTGCTTTCAGCCAGGAGTGACTTTGCTTACCAGGTGACTTTTGGCAATCTAGAGACAAGTTTCTGTAGTCACAACCTTGAAGTGATCCTACTGGAATCCTGCTGGTTGAGGTATGCCACCAACAATGGGTAGGGCAGCCTCCAACAGTAACTAAGCATCTGATCTACAATGTCAGTGTGCTGCTATTGAAAACCTCTGGTTAAAGTGATGTCACTTTCATCGGTAATAGGGGCTCCATAGCCCTGATATGTTCCATCTGTGTCATTATAAGAGTGGGGTGCCATAAATGAGCACAATACCCTGTTGCCTGTTGCCGTCCACCATGTTACCATAGCTCACATAGCCCACAGAAGCACAGGCACCTGTGCATCCTCAAAGCACAACCTAGGACAAAGGTAAGAAAGTCTACTTTACTGGATTGTGAGCTTCATGAGGACAGAAATGGTTCAGAAGCAGCTTTGTAAGCTCCCAGGGTAGAAAAACAATTAATCATCCTACCTGGATGTAAAGCCTATGAACCACAATTTTCAACATAGAAAGATATTCTAAGAGGTGCAATAGTGGTACTGACATTCTGGGGTAACCAACCTCCATCTAATTGTACTCAGGGACTTCTCAAACAAGAGAGAATTCATGTCTGGAACTGTAACAATAACCGACTAGGTGAGATCATGGGACATAGAAAAAAATCTAGTACTGCCTCTTTCTCACAGCGGTATAGTATCTAACTGCATTCTAAATACTTAGCCTCTACACAGGCAAGTGTAGCTTCACCCTTCATTAAAGAAGCTTCTTTTTTCAATAGATGGAGACTGGCACAGAAAAACCACAACTGCTCAAAATGGAAGGAACAGTTGACCGTGGGTGTCGTCCCCAGCAGATATATCTACCCCACAGCTCCTGCATCTAAGGCTCAGGGAACATAGCGGAAGAGACAACAGAAAGATGGTATGAGCCAGGGGGGGATCAGGACATCTGTTTCAAGATAATCTCTTCTCAAAAATTAAAAAGACACAAAGTTGAAGGGGGCAGGAAAAGAAAGAGAGGGTGGATTGGGGAGAGTTTGGGGGAAATTAATTAATATTACAAAAATATGTCATATGTAATTCTTAAAGAATTGGCAAAATACACTACTTTTAAAAACAGTTTTTGGATGCTAACCTATAAGAGGTCACAAAACTTGAAACTGTTCATCCAGATCAATTCTGAAGCATGTTCTTCTAAGAAAGAATTACAGCAAAGGGAAGAGCTGTTGATTCTCAGACTGAATGGATGTTATTTACCAAACAGAATTGCGGTTCATCTCGGGAGCAGATTAATATACAAAGTTTGCTCTTTAGCCTTTCATAGGACACTTTCTATTTAACCAAAAATACTTTAATAAAGTGATTTAATAAATGTTCTAAATGACAAATTAGGTTCCAGATGGGCAGGATTAACTAGAATGTAGCAAAGGTATTCACAAAGTAAGTTCTTATGCAAAACACTTCCAAGTTTGCTCATAAAACTCCACTAAAATCCCCTTTGGTAGACAACCTGCAGCTTTTCCAACCACAACCACATGCAAATGTAGGATCTAATTGCTTTTCGGTGTCTCTAGGGACACAGT